CACTATTCCGTCAAAGGCTGATTTGCCTTTTTCTTTTTACTAAATTAAAGATTGAATTTTTTGGGTGTATCTTATTAAAAAAATCTGCATGATTTGTGGATAAAATTAATATTATATTTTTTAATTTTTTAATGTAAATTAATGTTTAAAAGCTGTATTTAATTGTCAACTACTTCAATAATTTAATGATTATCTCTTTTTATTAAAAATAAAAAATCTTGAATTTGAATCGCATGACATATGGGTGAAATGTGATAAATGATAAAAAATAATTATCTTTTATTGTACAACTAATATAAAAAAAATTGTACTTAATTTTTTAATTTACAATTAAGAACATAACAATTTGACTTGTTCTGGCAAAAAAAAAATGGAAATAAGTAACTAACTATTTCTAATGACACATTTTTGTTATGCTTATTGTATGTCAGTGACCAAAATGCTATGATCTGGAAGGAAATTCACCCTATTAATTTCCAGTTTGCTGGAAAAGATTTTTGTTGGTAGCACCAAAATTAAATGGAACATAGCTTAGATGAGTTGAGGACAACTTTACCGTGACAAAATGGTGATAAAGAAACCTACAACTGTTTTCCTCTCTCACAGCAATGCGAAAACGGAGATAAGTTGTCCCAGCAGCTAACATTACCCAATCTTCAAAACAAAATGCATGCAAATAAATAAATAAACAAGAAAAGAGAGAGAGAGGGAGACTGCTTATGTTTAATACAACAAACAGTTTAACAAATGAGCTGTGGGGCTTGGGATTCTGCCTCTGAAGTACTTTGTTGGGCTTCTGCCAAAACCCCCAGAATTGATGGCATCAAAATGTGGAAAAAAGTGGAGAAGCATCCTCATATGGAGAAAGTCTGTTGTATTTCAGGTTGACATGGTATCACTAACTAATCACAGTGTGCCATGTCATTATTTTTACTATTGAGTGAGCTAGCATGGCTAATGAGGTGAAATTTTTTTTGATAATGTGGCATACTATGATTGATTGAAAATATCATATTAACAATATCCCGAGGATATAGTAGACTTTCTCACCCGGCTGGGTAGGACCGTAGGGAAACCAAAATGAGGTCTTTAACCTGCTTGTCTCTTGAGTTGGTGGTCCTTCTTTTTCTTTCTTTGTTTTCAAGTTACTAAGTGCTATTTGGTGCAACTTGTGAGAAGAACTTCTTGATTTTAAAAGCACAAGCTGCACCAAATATTAGAACTAATAAAAAATGCTATAACTTCTCATAAGTTAGTATTTTCTCCATTTGATTATTAATCTTAGAAGCATTAAATTAGTACTTTTACAAGAGCTTTTTATTTAGATTTTAATGAAATTAATACATTATTTTTATTTTATCTTAATTTTTTTACTTACAAAAATAATACTTTTACAATAATTTTTTTAACAAAACTTTTATTAAAAGCTCAACTAGGCATTAAAGTAGAATGGTTTTCAAGAGGGTCAATAATATTGATTCCATTTTCTCAATCTTTTTTAGAATGGGTCCAAATGTGTTGGGCTAGCCAAACCCAAGGAGACCATACCCTCAATTAATTTGGGCTGACATGGGGACATCCTCTTCCCTTTGAACCTGCTTCATCTGGTCCTCTCTTCTTGACCTCCGCTTCGCCATTGTTTTGCAACTTTTTGTTTTTGTTACTCTTCGGACTTCGGAACGAGAAGAAGAAGAGGAAGACATCTCGCTTGGAAATGAGTGGGCATGATTCCAAGTACTTCTCCACCACGAAGAAGGGAGAAATCCCTGAACTCAAAGAAGAACTCAATTCTCAGTACAAGGTATTTGTGCTGCCTACATGTAATACGTTTGCACTTATCGATCTATAAACTGGATTTGTTAGAACCTTAAATTTTGGGCACATATACTAGGCACTTTCTTCTTAGATCTGTGCGAATCGTTTCTGGATTTATCATGATTTCTGTTTGGCACTGCGAAATCGCTGGAAATGCAAAGAGAGAAATGGGTTTTTTGATTCATTGATTTCAGTTTAGTTTGACGTGAATGATCATTATTATTATATATAGGATAAGAGAAGGGATGCGGTAAAGAAGGTTATTGCTGCCATGACGGTTGGGAAGGATGTTTCATCTCTTTTCACGGATGTAGTGAATTGCATGCAAACAGAAAACTTGGAGCTGAAAAAGCTTGTTTATTTGTACCTTATAAATTATGCTAAAAGCCAACCTGACCTTGCAATTCTTGCAGTCAATACATTTGTGAAGGTAAGAACTCAAATGATGCTTTGTATATTACAGTTTAATATTGCCTTCTGTTTTTCTTTCGGCATTGGATATTGATACCTCATTTATGATTTACCCAACATTTAAAATGTGCTTAAAGTTACTTTACTAGTGCTTTATGGATTTCTTCTGACATTATTGTATATTATTCATGCAGGATTCTCAGGACCCGAATCCACTGATTCGTGCTTTAGCTGTTCGAACAATGGGATGCATTCGCGTTGATAAGATAACAGAATATCTATGTGATCCGCTTCAGAGGTGTCTTAAGGTTGGTGTCAGCTTGATCTTTAGGTGTTTTTGTTTTAGCTTTTCCACCTGATTATGCTCTTGGTTAACCATGGTGTATAACATTGTAACAGGACGATGATCCATATGTTAGAAAGACAGCTGCTATATGTGTTGCTAAGCTTTATGACATTAATGCTGAGTTAGTTGAGGATAGGGGTTTTCTTGAATCCCTCAAGGATTTGATTTCTGACAACAATCCCATGGTTGTGGCAAATGCTGTGGCAGCTCTAGCAGAGATTCAAGAGAATAGTAGTAGACCAATCTTTGAGATCACCAGTCACACACTGTCAAAGCTCCTCACTGCACTGAATGAATGTACAGAGTAAGCTTACTTTCATAAACCATTCCCTGACCTCCAGCCATGTTCATTTAGTAATTTGTAATGCCAGCATACATCCATCTTACATCTTGAAGATAAGTGTTATATTGTCAACTTATATATAACAAGGAAATTTGGATTTTGCTAGAATAAATATATATTGCCATCACAAAAGATGTATAAATCCTTATTCAGTGGCTGGGTAGCCTTTTGTTGTGCTGGTTTAGTCCTGATAGTGATGCACTTTTCAGGTGGGGTCAAGTTTTTATACTGGACGCACTTTCTAGATATAAGGCTGCTGATGCTCGTGAGGCTGAGAGTATAGTAGAGAGAGTTACTCCACGGCTGCAACATGCTAACTGTGCTGTTGTGCTCTCAGCTGTCAAGGTGGACTCCAACAATTGATTTCTTTTAGGATCATTTCTGTCTTGTTGATGTATTATTATCAGTCAAATGATTTCTCCTTTTTTAATTTACTTCCAGATGATTCTTCAACAAATGGAACTTATCACTAGTACTGATGTTGTGCGAAATCTTTGCAAAAAGATGGCTCCTCCTCTGGTTACACTACTTTCTGCAGAACCTGAGATACAGTATGTTGCATTACGTAATATCAACCTCATAGTACAAAGGCGGCCTACGATCCTTGCCCATGAAATCAAGGTGGATTCATATAGAATCACTCTTGTGCAAGCACTCATTTACCTTTTTTTTTCATACTTTGCATAGCAAATTGCAACAGGTGAGGTTTGGGGATGTTGTAAACAAAGAAAATATGCTTATCAAACACCCAATTCTTTTGCTAGGTGTTTTTCTGCAAGTACAATGACCCAATTTATGTGAAGATGGAAAAGTTGGAAATTATGATAAAGCTTGCTTCTGACCGAAACATAGATCAGGTAGGTAAAGTTTGGTACAACTTACTAATACTACTGTTATTTTCCATTGTAATTTTTTTTTTCCCCATCTTCTTCTCCGTTGTAAGTGTTAATTGATGAAAAAAAGTAAATAGTTTGTTGCATTGTTGATTGATTCTCCATAGGTTCTATTGGAGTTTAAAGAGTATGCTACAGAAGTAGATGTGGATTTTGTCAGAAAGGCTGTTCGTGCCATAGGCCGCTGTGCCATTAAGTTAGAGAGAGCAGCTGAACGGTGTATCAGTGTTCTGCTTGAGTTGATCAAGATTAAAGTCAACTATGTTGTCCAAGAGGCTATCATAGTTATCAAAGATATCTTCAGAAGATATCCTAACACGTAGATTCTGTTTTTTCTTTAAATTTTCTGAATTACTTTACAATATTGCCCTTTTTTTCTTTTTTCTTTTTTTGTAAATAGCATTGCGTATTTAAATCTTTTTATAACAATAGATCTATTATTAACATTTGCAGCTACGAGTCTATCATTGCAACTCTCTGTGAGAGCTTAGACACATTAGATGAACCAGAAGCCAAGGTACTTCTGTTTCCCCAGTTACAGAGGAATAACTAAGTTTTCTGTTAATGATGTATCAATTATCATCTTTGAGCTCATTTAAAGTACCGGGCTTATTTCTTCCTTTTCTAAGGCATCAATGATATGGATAATTGGTGAATATGCGGAAAGAATTGACAATGCTGATGAGCTCCTTGAAAGCTTCTTGGAAAGTTTCCCTGAAGAGCCCCCCCAAGTTCAGCTGCAACTGCTAACTGCCACTGTAAAACTCTTTCTTAAGAAGCCAACTGAAGGTCCACAGCAGATGATTCAGGTCTTGTATTAGTGTTTTACATGCAAATGTGTTGAAATCCATGCTAGCTACATCTCTATTGTCTTAACACATGCCAATCAATTCTTCTTGTATGGTTTCTTGTTGATAGGTTGTTTTGAATAATGCCACTGTGGAGACCGACAATCCTGATTTGCGGGATCGTGCATACATATACTGGCGTCTTCTATCGACTGATCCTGAGGTGAATTAATTAGTATCAACATTTGGTCTGTGGAGCATGGGAAACTTTTTAGTTGAGATGCTGTTTTGGTTTCGCTTTTCTTTTTTCTTTCTTTCTTTCTTTCTTTTTATTTTTTATTATTATTTTTTTTTTTATCTTTTCCTCTTCTACTTCTTTAAGCCTAGGGAAAGGGCTGCTTGACCACTTGTTGCATGTTTTCCTTTCATTTGAGTTAGTGTCAACCCATGTCATATTGTTGACTTTGCCTGTCCCCATTTCGTTTTCTCTATATTCCAGCCATTTCCATCCTGTGGAGGAAAGGGGGTCTTAAAAGAAAGGGGGTGTTAAAAGAGATGGGGATTGTTAGGCTGATAGATCATCCTTGTGTTTGATCATTTCCATCTAGGGTAATATATGCATATAAAAATCCCTTGTGTTAGTTGTGTGTATGATCAGCCTGTATTTTGTCTCTCAGGCAGCCAAGGATGTTGTGTTAGCTGAGAAACCGGTGATCAGTGATGATTCAAATCAACTTGATCCATCTCTTCTTGATGAGCTTCTTGCCAACATTGCAACATTATCCTCTGTGTACCATAAACCACCAGA